AAAAAAAAAAAACAAATTTGATCTATTCTGTTTTATTGTTTTATATTTTTTGTAGTTTTTATTGAACTAAAAGAAAATTAATCTTAAAAAATATGTTAATACAAATGAACGTGATTTTCAAGCGGATATACTCGATTTAATTGTTTAATTACTTTTAATTCATGTTAATTATAGTTGATTAGATGCCGATGAAGTTCGTTGTATTTTTCTAATCATTTTGTTTAGCATTTTCTTACGCATATAATTTATGAACTTGAAATGATTGAAGAAACTATAGCAAGTTATGATGTATTATCATATTTTATTTATTGTATTATTGAATTTCTTGTTATGTTATCACATGATACATTTCATTCAAAACAAGTTATTAAAGTACAAGATCTAATAAAACATTATGAGTTATTATTAGCAAGTGGACATGAACCTGAAACACATGGTAGGAAGCAAAAAAAAGAACATTTTCGACAAAAAGAAATTATCATTGAAATTCTTTATTTAGCTTTAGCTGCATTAGAACCAGTTGTATATGATTTCTTGTTCAAGTTAACACAGATAATACAGAATTAGAAGCACAACGAATGATGATTGTTCACACCTTTCTTAAATTTATTCGATATAAGAAATAGTCACTATGCGAATAATTAAAATTTCTAAAACATTTTATTAAATGAGAGTGAACAAAAGATATCCCTCTATAAGGTCTCAAATATCATAGAAACTCAAGAGGGTGTGAGTGTGAGTGTGTAGGTATATTTTTTTTTTCTCGATTAAACCCGCATGCACACTTCAATGAATCAATGATCTGAAAATAATCATCTTGTTGATGCTCAGAACTCAACAAGATTTAGAGATAGCAATCTTCAGATATGTATTTGATAAAAGATACGGCAATAAAAAGTTTGAAGGAAAACTAGGCGTCTTAATTATTATAAATAAAAGTATTTTTTCATGTCATCTGTATGTACTGAGGAAAAACAATAATAGAATTTATATTGCTGTAGGATTTACGATTGTTAACAGTTATTGTTGATAATGTTCGAAATGATAAATGGAAACGTCTTTCAAGGCTAATTGTTGGTGTACTTCTTGTTCATTTACAATCACATGTTACTATTGGTTTATCTTAGGTTATTTTTCTTTTAATACACTCTGATTTTACATACATTACTTTTGTTTTTTTTCTGTTCAAATAGGATCAATCACTTTTGGATATTTATTCCACACAATTAGCACTATTTATTGTTGTGTCATCAGTTGAATTACGACCAATTGATCCATTTGTTATTGCTTTTCGAGCATTAGTACATAGAAATGTTCGTTGTTTTTTTTTATTTATAAAATTTTCGTGTAGTTTAAAATTTTTTTAGAATATCAATTGTCAATCTACAAATTAATAGTTAATCAATATAAATATACTAGTTCGATGTCTTGTATAAAATTTAACTGAAGATGCTATATTAACATGATAGAATGATGTTTTATCATCAGTTAATGGAACTCGAGATGAAACTTTTAGTGGGTTAGTATTCGAAATGATTTTATTTATAATTTAAAAGCTATTATTCTCGTTTTTGTTTTCAGACCTCTTCTTCGAATTTTACATGACATAATATTACGAATTTTAACTAATATTCGGCAATTATGTGGTCAAATCGATATGATATTAGTTTCTCTTGCATCCGATTATCTTTATGTACATATCACCCATTAATTTGAAGATAAAACTTTCCTGCAATTCATTAATTACTAATGGCCTAGCGAAATAAATTTGACTTTAAAATTCCTATGCTTATATAAAATCTATAATTTTATTTTAGTTAAACAATTTCGAACAATGGTAAATGATTTTCGACAATTATGAATTCATGATGAAACTGTACATCGTCTTGATACATTTTCATATTTAACTATTTTAAGTGAATGTTTTAAATTATTATGATCATCATTTTATATACTACTATTATATTATTACAACGGACACATTCTGAAATATACTTGATTATACACAAGAAGCATGGTGATCATCGATATTAACACCATCATCATCAAAAATACATTTATCTATAAGTGTTCAATTACAATCTTATTGTGATTTAATATGTCATCATGAATTATATGTTGAACATTTGACATCAATAACAACACATTATCAATTATTATTATTATTATTTTTTATTTGAACAAAGTGATATATGTACATATGTACATAATTTATTTGATCTTATACATCATACATCAGTTGCAAGTCATTTATTCGTTTGTGAAGGAATACATTTACATGAAAATGATCTTGTATTAGTTTTATTAATTGAACAATTTCTTCCATTACCATTAAATAAATAATTATTATCTAAATATTTACCATTAATTTTATAAATATTATCAATAACAATATCAATCGATATTATTAAAGAAGATTTTAATAATTTTAATTGTTCTATAGATATAACAAGAAAGATTTATGCAGAAATGCTTAAAAATGTAACTTATAAAAAATGATTATCATTTATGATGTCACCTGTATGTTTTAGTTTAATTTATCGAAATAAATATATACGTTTATGTATAATGAAAATTTTAATCCAATTAAAGGAAAATTTTTTTTTTTTTACTTTGACATTGTTTATGTGGTAGTCATAGATGAGACTTTTGAATAATTCAAAATTTCGAAAAATATTTTGAAATAGAAAACTAGTCGATCTACTGTACTTACATATAAAGAAGAACGAGTTTTAATGATACAGGTAAGAAACAAAATATGCAAAATTTCAGGTAATACAAATCGTAAAGGAAAGTATTTAGGCTATATTAGTACAATGACCGAATTTAATTCCTTTCGAATATCATTGCTCAAATTCTGAGTCGTGCTATTTGTCATACTGTTACAACTAAAGAAAACGATGTCTTTTTAATATTATGAAATGACTAATGAAGAAAATAATCATAAATAGTTTTAAAGATATCTCGTAAGATGTTTTCGATTGTGTTATTTATTTTTAACCGAAAATAATTTTTAGAAATCAGAAATTTTAAGTCTATGAAATATTCTTCGAAACAAATATCATGAACTGATGATTAAGGATGCAACAGTGATATTCATCTTATATTGATTTCGAGTTTTTCGATCGAAGAAGATCTATTTCATAAAAGCAGCTGAGTTTTATAAAAACATCACGAGGCCTTTCTCCGACGATAAAATTGCATTCGAGAATTTCGACAAATTTTCTATAGGCTTGAGTTCCTGGACTCTGAAAACGTATTGGATTTTTTCAATAGCATAAAATTTTTAGGATAATTCTTATAGTAAATGAAAATTAATTTGAGAAAATAAGAAACAATATAAATCTGTTCTTTTTTTTATTTTCCTAGGATTTTGTATAGTTATCAAATGCCTCATTATCTTATCCTTGGTATTTTATCAACATAACGGTTAATATCAAATGAAAGAAATTTAAATGATGTTGAAACAACACCTAATACAATTTATGTAAAAATTCCTTTAGCATGCTCTGATAATGAACCATATTAAATTGCATTAATAGATTCTATATCAATGTATTTTGATACAATACAAAAACATCTTGAATTAACATATCAATTTTCAATAGGTGATATACGTGACTAGTTGTAAAATAGATCAAATAATATCATGCTGTACGACGTTATCGAAAACACTTTTATCAATATTTGAATATCTTTATCAACGACATAGTTTAACTGTATCAAATAGACAAATCAATTATTATAATCATATTTAATTTTAATTGAACCAGATAATAGATCATTTATACAATTATTACTTTTATCATTTAATGATCTTGATCATCTTTATTATTTAACAAGAAAAATTAAATATATATATTTATTAACATGATTTACATTGTATAGTTATATTATTATTTTGTTTAACAATATTTAATACATATATATGTATATCAAGACAATTTTGAAGTTGATTGATTATAAAGAATACAATTTCAAGAAATATAGGCTTCATTTAATCCACCACAAATCAATCTAATAATGAAAATAAACAAACAACAAATAATTTAAAAAAAGAAGAAACTTTAGAAACAAATGCAACAAAATGGTAACACGATAAAAAAAACCTAGATATTATCTGTTTTTTATTTTCTCTGCATAGTGTATGGATTTGTAGTGTAATAACATTTTTATTAAATGTACTTCGATTGAATTGTACAAGAAATCCAGTTGATATGACATTTGAACATCGATGTCGGAATAAATCTATTTCATTTTTATTAACAGATTATCCTATGAACAACTTTCATATGATACTATATTAACATCAATTCAAAGTAATAATACATTATCATTATCAGTTAATATAAGTCTTACATATGTTTTAATAATCGACAAATAGAACTTCTAGTTTTGTTAATATTGAATATTCAACATAAGTGTATACAGAACTCTAAGTTAAGAGAAAGATAAATTCATTGCTAAATTATTAATTTCATCAAACAAAAAATCTAGTGTTTTTCTGACTTTGATATGATATATAATATATGCAAATTGTCTTATTTCATATAGATAAAAGTTTATATCAATAATTTCAAATATATTCTATCAATCAGAAAATTAGAGTATGAATATGTTCTTTGCTGGCATCTACCTTTAAAAATATATAATTTAGAGTTTATTTGATCGCTTATTTTTTCATCATGGTTTCGATTTAACATTATCATTACAAATTCTAATTGAAATATATGTAATATGAATTAATAGGTTCATTGATATATTTATCTGATTTATTTACATCATCACAACATTGATCAAATTTATATGATTTATGTGATGAATATTTTCGTAGATAGTTTGATGAAGATGATTTAATGATATCCTTAATAAGTTATAATTTATGTAAATCTTGTATATTACTTGGACAAACAACAAAAGTATATAATGAATTATATATACATTTAATTGAACACAATTTTAAATTAACTAAAATTCATGCATATATATCATGTTTATTTTTACTTGAAAGTTATGAAATTGATTTAAATAAATTATATAATACAAGAATTAAATAATGATATATAAAATAATAATTTAAATTCATATAATATTTTATTATCATTAATTAAAGATGATAATTTAACACAAAAATTTATATCAATTAGTCTTGAAAGACTTTAAATAGTTAGTCAATATCCTAAAAATGATATATGGCGTTTATATGAAATACGTGCACGTATTTATACATTATTACAACGACCAAATGAAAATACAAATTTATTAAATAATGAATATGTTAATGAAGAACAAGAAATAATTGATAGTTCATAAATAATATCATCATCAAATAATATTCTTATTGAACTTGTTACAGAATTATATGAACGTACTAAACAATCATCAACATTACCATATGAACCTTTACTTTTATTACGTTCATTACCATTATTACTTGCACATATTGGTTTATCGGTTTGTTTAATGTATAAAATGGTTTTAGAATTTGCTGCATTAACACAACAATTATATCCTCAAATACTTGTATATACAGTTTTTGCTTTTTTTATTTCGTGCTTTAATTAATGCATGTTATTCAGCTAAAGTTAATCAATGGACTTTA